GAGAGAGAGAGAGAGAGAGAGAGAGAGAGAGAGAGAGAGAGAGAGAGAGAGAGAGAGGGGGGGGGGTTTATGTGTTATAGGTAAGGCACAAAATGATAAATAAAATTAAGCGTTTGATTCTAATGACACCATACATTTATGAATTTGAATCAGATGAAAGAGTGATTTGAATTAAGGTGATAAAATCTAAAAATATCTTGTTTGATTTGGATCATTATTTGAATCATGTGATTCGAATCAAGAAATTACATGATTTGTATAACACAACCAGAGGTGATTTACAAAATAATTCAATTACTCATTATCTGAATCAACCATTATTGTGATTTGCACCAAGGTGTCTTTGATTTGAATATGACATAACCTTAATTCGATTCACACTCCCACCACTAATTTCCAATTTTTTATTTTACTCTAGATTTGAAACAACCAAAATGGTAATTCAGGTCAAGCTTAAAAAATACCTTATTTTAAGATGAAGGCTCTAAAGGTTCGACTAAAATTTTAGTAAAACATGATGTTGCACAAGATGTTTCAACAAGAAGAAATTTGTATAAAACAACATGTCAGACAAGATGTCCTAGCATTGTGAATTCGACATCTTGGTCTGGTGCAGCAGATTTGTTGCAGATCTGTTCCAAGATTTAAGGTGCAATCAGAACGTGAATCAAGGAAAGATTTAACAGAGACTTTGAAACCCATTGATTGTTGAAGGCTGTAAAAGGACGACCAAGATCTAGGGCATAAAAAAAACAAGAGAGAGACCTTGTAAGGAATTCGTGTAAAGTAATTACAAGAGTTTAGGATTTTGAGAGTCTTGTATTTTCTTGTGTTGTAAGTCACCCTTTGTATCGGTTGATACATTGTGGTAGACATAGTTTTACATATTCAGAAACCTATAGGTAATGAATTATTTGTTGATCTTGGATGAAGTTTTTAAGCAAATTCATGCATGATTGTTAGTCAAGAGTCTTGACTGAATATTGTATTGGGAGGGGTGTCTTTCAATTAAACAGTTTGATATAGTCACCCGAGGTTATGAATGTTAGATATCTCTGAAGTGACTTAGGAATTGAGATAGGTTTCTCTTGTCTAGATGGTGATTCCTAGATAGAATTGTATTGGGTAGGAATTAAATGAGGAGTTGTAAACTGAGGAGTTTAGCTTTAAATTAATACTACTAATAGTGGATTCATTCCTACCTTGGTAGCTCCCAAATGTAGGTGAGTTGAATCGAACTAGGTTATCATATCTTGTGTTATTTTCATCATGTTATGTTAAATTCAGTATGCTCTTAAGTTCTGAAATACATGTCTTAACGGATGTTGAAACATTTGTCATGACATTGTTATGTATTTGCAGTTTTTGGATGTTCTTATTTTTGCCTTGTTTAGTTATACAGAGATCAATGTCTCGACATCTCTTGGGACATCTGTGATTTGCACACCAGAATTTCATAAGACTTCTAACTTGTGACTCAAGTCATTCATAGTTGACTTTTGGCAATTTTTCTCAAATTAAAAAGCATTTTAATGTTTTCAACCCAAGTGAATGTAAGGGATAGTTCAAGGTACAATATTACAATAAACGTTAAAAATAAAATGATGATAAATCAATCAACTCAAAATTAAAACAGACAATAATTAAAAAAAATATTAAAAATACGACAAAACATCAACACAGACACACTGTTACCGACTGAACAATTTCAGCATGATATCTTATAAGCTTTGTCATACACACAAACACTTCCATCTCAAGAATTCGAACATTTCTTCACCTAGCCTCCAACATAGTCTTCTTTGATTCTCTCATCAGTTTCATTTCCCTTTTTATATCATCTTTGTTCAACACAAATAACCCTGCATCATCACCAAACTTAAACATTTCACTCAAAGTCAACCTCTTATCACCATCTTTTCTATATGAAGCACAAACTCTGACACAGACACCGCGACACGACACTAACACTTTAACACCGATATGTCAAAAATCTAGGACACCGACACCGCTATATATGTCATAATATTTGAGTTTCATTTATTCATCTAATATCAAAAGAGATAAAAAAAATATTCTAATCAAAATTAATGTCTTTAATTCTTCATTGATAACATTGCTTCAAACATGTTTAACCCTTCTAATTGTGCATGAGATTTGTCTAAAAAATGTATAAAATGTATTGAGGAAAAGAGAAACACTTTTTTTTAACTTGTCTGAATTATCGGACACGTGTTGTATGAGTGTCATATGAATACTGGACATCGATTCAAAATGTGTCGAAGCAAAGAAAAAAAATAGGACGTACTCGGAGATGCATCTCTGAAATATGTCTTGATGATATGATAGGGTTTATAAGGTCTAAATTGATCTACAAATTCTATAAATAGAGATTTCTCATTCCATGTTGTTTACAAAAACCAGAATGAATACATATTCTCATCTTGCATTTGTTTATTTCAATGGCGCAAATCCCCCACTTCAATTTAGAGTATGTGAGTACATACTTCTCGTCGATTTGAAATCCACACTGAATACTCTCCTGCGATATTAAAAAAATCGGAGAGTATTATTTTCTCCTTATTTAAGTAAATTTTAACATTTTAAATTTATTAAATAAAATCATAATAATATTATTTTCTCTTTATTTATCACTTAAAAATATTCACAAAATAAAATCATGATAATATTATTTTTCTTTAACATACTTAAAAATGGCAAGTTTATAATAAGTGAGGAAGTCCTATTAAAGAAAAGTTCTAACCTCTAATGAAATAACACCAAATGGTTGACTGACTCGTAAGAAAATGTGGTTTTGTTAGGTTGGTAACGAGGGAGTCTTAGTTCTACACAGTCATAACCCAAGCTGGTAATTAGCTTCCCTCACCTAATTCATATTTTCATTATTTTTTCACTTTTCATTTCTCACACAAACAAGTAGCTACACAATTTTCTATTTTATTGTTATATCATAATAACTACGAATTTGCCGGCCAGTATCATGCACCTTTAGTCGTTGTTGTAATGTGACACATTCAACTCCATCCTTCTACTTACTCAGCCAGCCACACTATATATAGATCATGTTCCACACTACATTTTCTCACACCACATTTTCATCTACTATCTTTCATTCCTTCTAAACCCCATCAACATGGTGACAGTTAATGAGATCCGCCAGGCACAGAGAGCTGAAGGCCCTGCCGCTCTCTTTGCAATTGGCACTGCTACTCCTCAAAACTGTGTCGATCAGAGTACATATCCGGATTTTTATTTCCGTATCACAAACAGCGAACACAAAACTGAACTCAAAGAAAAATTTCAGCGCATGTGTAAGATATACTGAGACATGATATGATACACGATATATTGATACGTCTTTTTTATATGTTTCTATTTTAAGTGTTACTTAAGACTAATAGTTAAACTGCGTATTATATTTTTCAGGTGACAAGTCTATGATTAAGAAGAGATACATGCATTTGACTGAAGAGATTCTGAAGGAGAATCCTAGTATGTGTGAGTACATGGCAACTTCATTGGATGCAAGACAGGACATGGTTGTTGTGGAAGTGCCAAAGCTAGGAAAAGAGGCAGCAACAAAGGCTATCAAGGAATGGGGTCAACCTAAGTCTAAGATTACGCATCTTATCTTTTGTACAACAAGTGGTGTGGACATGCCTGGTGCTGACTATCAGCTCACAAAGCTCTTAGGGCTTCGTCCATATGTGAAGCGTTATATGATGTACCAACAAGGTTGTTTTGCTGGTGGGACGGTGCTTCGTTTGGCTAAAGATTTGGCAGAGAACAACAAAGGTGCCCGTGTGTTGGTGGTTTGTTCTGAGATCACTGCAGTCACTTTCCGTGGGCCAAGCGACACTCATCTTGATAGTCTTGTGGGACAGGCGTTGTTTGGAGATGGTGCAGCAGCTGTGATAGTTGGTTCTGACCCGTTGCCAGACGTTGAGAAGCCTTTGTTTGAATTGGTATGGACTGCACAAACAATTGTTCCAGATAGTGATGGAGCTATTGATGGTCACCTTCGAGAAGCGGGGCTGACATTCCATCTCCTCAAGGATGTTCCTAGTCTAGTCTCAAAGAACATTGAGAAAGCTCTTGTTGAGGCATTTCAACCTTTGAATATCTCTGATTACAATTCCATCTTTTGGATTGCACACCCAGGTGGACCAGCAATTCTAGACCAAGTTGAAGCCAAATTAGGCTTAAAGCCAGAGAAAATGCAAGCCACTCGACATGTACTTAGCGAGTATGGTAACATGTCAAGTGCGTGTGTGTTATTCATCTTAGATGAAATGAGGAGGAAGTCAAAAGAAGACAGACTTGCCACAACAGGTGAGGGACTTGAATGGGGTGTGCTTTTCGGTTTTGGACCTGGACTCACTGTCGAGACTGTATTGCTCCATAGCATGGCCACCTAAATCATCACATTTTACTAAGGCAACAAGTTCTATTTGCTCCATGCTCTTTTCTTTTCACCTAAAAACGAATGTATTCTTTCTTACTGTGTTTCCCCACCTCATTGATCACTTTTCACATGTTTCCTATCCCTTTAATTATCCATGACTACTAGTATGTTATATATATAAACCTTTAATTTTCTGTTGTCTGATAAGATCTTCAGAAATAAATAATGTATTGATTTGGTTCATAACAAATCCCTCAGACATGTACCATGAATCCCTTCTTTTAACATGATTTCACTTTGGATCTTTAATCTTTACTACAGTATAACTTTTCATTTAACATTTAGTTCCTTGAAATAATGCCCTAAGCATTGAATAAGATACATAATTGGTGACTGGAGCATTCGTGCAACATTACCACCTCAAGATTCAGAGAGGAGTGAGATAGAAAAAAAGAGTGGAATAATATGAGAGAATGAGAGTTCAATTTTGAACTAAATATATCTTCTAGTAAGAATTAAATATGTAATAGTTATTTCTAAAAGCAGTTATAAACTTATAAGGACATTGATTTTAATAATCAGATTGATTAATTTTATATCCTACCTAAAATTATTAAGAGAGACTATCACCACAAATTATGGATCACACTCTTTGGGAAGAATGCATACCTACTTTTGTTGTATTTTAATATTATTTCACTAAAAATACTTGTATAATTTTTGGAATGAAAAAATAGTTTTATATGAAGGTTATTTATATTTAACTCTTACTTTTAGTGTTTTTTTTTTAAGGAAAATTGAGGTTTACGATTTAATATCCATTTATTTATCGTATTCAAAATTCAAGTTAACATCAACTATTATTTTCTCAATAACATTTAACTGTAGATTATACAGAGAAAATGAGTGTCATGAGATCATAAATAGTTTATAACAATATAAAAAGGATAAATAAACTTTTTCAAAAAAAAATAACAAAATTTATTATTAATTTTTTGTACGTATAAACAACTGTGATATGAAAGAATAAACAAAGTTAATTGAATTAAGGTTCAATTAGTTACACAGATTGAGTTTGTGGAGGACAGTCTCATTAACTTTTTTTAGGGACTAAAAATCATGTGGAGATTAATCTCTATAAACATAATGCAGAGTCAAAAACACTGATCATAGTAATATTAAAAAAAAAACTTAAAAATGATAACATTATTCCATTTTAATTTTAAAATTAGCAGTCTCTGTCACCTAACACTGGAAGTATATCTGCATGGCCAAGCCATATACTTGGTATGTAACAAACCTTCAGTCCATGCAGTCATGCGGGGGTTGAAACTTGCGAGTGGAAGATAACTCATCTACCTCCAATAATATAGTACTATTCCATTCATTTGTCAATTACAAGGTTGTTATATTCAATAATTAATTTAGTTTGCTAGAAATTTGGTCAGTTAAGCATGTGCTTCATCTACCAGTTCTCCCTCTTCCCTTTTCATCCGCATGTGTGTACAGTGTATGTGTATATATACCTACGTTTCTTAAGGAGCAATATTGCAACACACCCTTTCATTTCTTTACGAGTCCTTCCTTTGTGACATAACAACAAACGTGCCAAGCCATCAACCATTCCAATCCTTTGATAGATATAACCTATCAGTACTCACATTCTTTTCTTCATAGCTGCCAACTTTAGACTCAAAGAAAGAAAATGGTGACAGTTTATGAGATCTGCCAGGCACAGAAGGCTGACGGCCCTGCAACTGTGTTGGCAATCGGCACTGCAACTCCTCCAAACTGTGTGGATCAGAGTACTTACCCGGACTACTATTTCCGCATCACAAACAGTGAGCACAAGACTGAACTCAAAGAAAAGTTCCAGCGCATGTGTAAGATATCTATCTCATACCATATCTTTTTGTGTTATGTTTTTGTATGTTGTTTTGTTTTGCTCCTTAAAACTGTACGGTCACTCTCAGCATGTGCAAAACAGTTAAAACTAAATTGCATATAATTTTTCAGGTGACAAATCTATGATTAAGAAGAGATACATGCATTTGACTGAAAAGATTCTGAAGGAGAATCCTAGTATGTGTGAGTACATGGCACCTTCATTGGATGCAAGACAAGACATGGTGGTTGTGGAAGTACCAAAGCTAGGAAAAGAGGCAGCAACAAAGGCCATCAAGGAATGGGGTCAACCTAAGTCTAAGATTACCCACCTCATCTTTTGCACCACCAGTGGTGTGGACATGCCTGGTGCCGACTATCAGCTAACAAAGCTCTTGGGCCTTCGTCCATATGTGAAGCGTTACATGATGTACCAACAAGGTTGTTTTGCTGGTGGAATGGTGCTTCGTTTGGCTAAAGATTTAGCTGAAAACAACAAAGGAGCCCGTGTGTTGATCGTTTGTTCAGAGATCACTGCAGTAACTTTCCGTGGACCAAGTGACACTCATCTTGATAGCCTTGTGGGGCAAGCATTGTTTGGAGATGGTGCAGCAGCTGTGATTGTAGGTTCAGACCCATTACCACAAGTTGAGAAACCCTTGTTTGAATTGGTGTGGACAGCACAAACGATCCTTCCAGATAGTGAAGGAGCCATTGATGGTCATCTTCGTGAAGTCGGGCTGACATTCCATCTCCTCAAGGATGTTCCTGGTCTCATTTCAAAGAACATTGAGAAAGCTCTTGTTGAGGCTTTTCAACCTTTAGGTATCTCTGATTACAATTCCTTATTTTGGATCGCACACCCTGGTGGACCAGCAATTCTGGACCAAGTGGAAGCCAAACTAAGCTTAAAGCCAGAGAAAATGCAAGCCACCCGTCATGTGCTTAGCGAGTATGGTAACATGTCAAGTGCGTGTGTGTTATTTATCTTGGATGAGATGAGGAAGAAGTCAAAAGAAGACGGACTTGGAACAACAGGCGAGGGGTTGGAATGGGGTGTGATGTTTGGTTTCGGACCCGGACTCACCGTTGAGACTGTAGTGCTCCACAGTGTTGCCACTTAAATTGCCTAGATGTGCTATAATTATATGTTTATTTAATTCTTACTCTGTTTCACTGAGCATTTGAATAAGATTTGTTTTCGTGATCTAAATGTAATGTGGTGTTGCTTAATGTACCCCTTCCATATTATAGTTGTAATACATATATTCATCAATTTGCAATTTCATGATCTTTTATGAATTGCCAAGTGGGAGATACATTTAAACATTGAAATATCCTAACTATTTTTAATTAAGACAAGGATTTGAAGGTATTATTTAAATTGAAAAGGGAAAAGCACTTTCAAATAAAACGTACATGCAGGATATGACTAAAAGTTGAATGGTAGAACTACTAATACTTTTGAACTGATGAAGGCACGCAAAGGAAAATGATAGGCTTTTCAATCATTGGCACAAACTATCATTTTAAAAATACTAATTTCTTATGATCTATGGGACTATACTCAAGTAAAAAAATAGTAATTCTACACAATATCTGATTAACTGATCCTGACAATTTGAATGTTACATATACTAGTTAAGCATGTCAGTCTCCTGTCTAAAACTGCAGTAAATCATATCTTAACAAGATAATTATAATATTATCTTCAGTAAATAAAGAGTGAATATGAGCACAAGATACAGAACTTCAAACATACAGATTTTGGAGGCATCTACAATGAGCATCAAAGTTGTGAGCACATCCTTAGCCAGAGCCAGCACCGGCTCTAGGATCAAGCTGCAACTGTTCTATAATCACTTTTTCAACAGCGTCAACAAAGTCCAGTATATTTTGCTGATTATGAGTATCTAATTTCTTGGCCAAACTCTGAAAAGTCAATCCACCAAAAGAAATAAAAAGTCAGTGCACAAATCTTCCCAAGTTCCAGCCATTGCACTATTTATAAATTATAATGTGCTCAAGGAATTGAAGTACACCAAAATATATAAGATGATTTCATTATAGATACTTGTATGTATGTAGGACACAGACACCCTTTTGTTTAAAAAATAGTATAGCAAAACATTAAGGGGCTGCCATAAGACATGCTAACTTGTGCAATACTTTTGAAGTTCTTATTTTCTCATGGCTAAAGCAGCTCCAATTTCTACAAATTTCCAATTATTTAGAACACCACGCACCAAATGTGACTTTAAAACATGTAATTAGTAGCCAATTACAACCTGCTAATTTCTTAAAAGCTTGCGGGTTAATCTACTAACCTACAAAATGTATCCTTTAAATTACCCTCATTCTTCCACCACAATTTTGTATCATACGTGCAAACTCTTCATTTCTCAAAAAAAAAATACATATTCCAAGTAAAATTAGTACAAGAATCAATGCAACTGCAATTTGACCAAGTATTGTTCGATATAAATTTACCAAAATAATGTGATTGAAAGGAATTACGAGATAGTATCATGATACATCAAATTGTAGGACATTCACAGCTTCTAATTCTTTATGTTTAAAACTGGCATCTAAGGTTGACATAGTTTCAAACAAAAGATTTGAATGTAGGTGAGCTATATTGAAGTCTAGGCTTCAACTCTTCAGATTTTGATAAAGCCTATCCCTACCAAGGTCACTCTAGTAATAGTACAATTACATTTCACAAGAATCGGAGTACTATCATTTAGACATTTTTTAGCACTAAAAGTAACATATAATCGACTAGCATATTGGCTAGGTCGATGAATTGGTATTCCAATTATTTTCAAAAGAAATAAAAATATATGCATAAACTACTCCACAATTTCAGTGGATTCAGCAAGCAATTTAAGTACGACAATTTGAGGTGAAACTGATACTACATTTGGAGTTCTCTCACCTCAACTTCGCAGTGAAAATTTGGAGAACGTTTCTTCAAAATATCTGACCCCTTGATAGATATCAGCTTCAATGGAGAACCAAAAATTGGCCAACCATGAGACAACTTTATGTATGCATCAATTCCTCTAACCAAATGAGCTACAATAGTCTCATCTTTGTCCAAGTACTCAAGAGAATATCTACATTGAGATGAGAAATAGATAAAAGAATATTAAATCATAATCCAAATTAATAACATCAAATTCAAAGGACTATAGTCTCACCTTGATTTATTGGCATCCTTTACCACAAGTCGCCTAAGTGTGCTTAGTATAATTCTATCTTGCAGTTTTTGTATTAACCACTGCAATGAGGACTTACTGCATGATGAATGATAGCCAAAAGTATGAGTTATAGCCATAAGGAAGTTGGGAGGAGGTGAGAACTAAGTAAACCTAAACAAAAAAAAGAAGGAAACAGCGGACCTGACAGACTTTGCATTATCAACAATATCATCCACATATATATCACTAGGAAAAACCTAAAAAACAAAACCAAAATAGTTAACAAATCAACAAGAGCTAACTAGGATTCTAAAAATGCTATACTAAACTAATGAGTAAGTTAATGCTTTTATATGCTGTTTTTAAAAGTATAACCAAATGGAATTATATCAAAAGCATCCAACAATTTCCGACTAAAGGAAGAGATTAGGAAAGGGAAAATGATATATGTTGCTATGTTTTTTTGCCAGGATGACGCTGTCAATAATTCTTGGCTTCCTCCTTTTCTCATTATTATTTCTCGTATATATAAAGGTTACAGGGCTATAATGGTAATTACACTAAATAATTACATTTTAATGAGAACAAGTCAATTTCTAATTTGTTTCCTTTATTCTAGAAACAAACCCTTATTCTAGGAACAAACCCTTATTCACATCCCCCCTCAAATTGATGTTGCTTGTCAATAAGCATCAATTTGCTAACAAGAAACTGATGACGTGGACGCGGAACAGCCTTGATAAGAATATCTGCAATCTGCAACTGAGTACTGACATGAGGAAGTGATATGATTCGGTCATCATAAGCATCACGAATTGAGTGACAGTCAACTTCAATATGTTTGGTGCGTTCATGAAAAACAGGATTCGCAACAATTTGGATGGCACTTGTATTGTCAGCATAAAGCGAAGTTGGCTCTATTTGAGGAAATCCAAGTTCAGCCAAAAGGCCACGAAGCCAAATTATTTCAGAACAAGCAGCAGACATGGCACGATACTCAGATTCAGTAGAAGATTTAGAGACTCTCGCTTGTTTCTTACTTTTCCATGAGATCAATGAAGAGCCAAGAAACATGCACCAACCAGTGACAGATCGTCGAGTATCAGGACACCCTGCCCAATCTGCATCACTATAAGCACTCAATTTAGGAGCAACTCCACTAGGAAAGAATAAACCACGATGAGAGCTTCCCTTCAAGTAACGAATTATACGACAAACTGCTGCCAAGTGAAGGTGGCGAGGAGAGTGCATGAATTGACTTACTTGTTGAACAGCAAACGATATGTCAGGGCGAGTAATAGTCAAGTAATTAAGGCTACCCACGAGTTGACGATACAATAAGGGATCAGGCAACAGATCACCATCATCACGATGATATTTAACATTAACCTCAAGCGGAGTATCCACTGGATTAGCCGATTGGAGACCCGCCATGGAAATTAAATCTGTGGCATACTTGTGTTGATGGAGGAATATGCCCTTGGATGTAGAATGAACCTCAAGACCAAGAAAATAATGCAAATTACCAAGATCTTTCATATGAAACGCTGCTTGTAACTGCTGTTTAAGGCTTTGAATGGAAGCATGATCAGAACCAGTAATAATCATATCATCAACATACAGAAGAAGTAGGACAATTCCAGTAGACATTCTATGAATAAATAGAGAAGAATCATACTGACTCTGAGTAAAGGAGAACCCAAGTAGAGTGGAGCGGAATTTTTCATACCATGCTCTAGGTCCTTGTTTCAAACCGTATAAGGAGCGTTTAAGCTTGCACACACCCTTAGATGATGAAAATAAACCTTGAGGAAAAGTCATATAAATGTCTTCCGCGAGGTCACCATGAAGAAAAGCATTTTTCACATCTAATTGATAAAGAGTCCACCCGTTAGAAGCAGCTATAGAGAGTATCGTACGAACGGATGTCATTTTAGCAACCGGTGCAAATGTCTCATCATAATCAATTCCATATTCCTGCTTGTTTCCTAAGGCAACCAAGCGAGCCTTGAAACGGTTGAGGGACCCATCCGAATTCAATTTCACAGAATACACCCATTTGCAGCCAATGGGTTTGACATCTGGAGGACAAGAGACAATATCCCATGTGAAATTCTCTTGAAGAGCTTGAAGTTCCTCATTCATTGCTTTTATCCAACGTACATCTTTAACAGCCTGTGAATAACAAGTAGGAATAGATATGCCAGAGAGGGTGGCAGTCAGAGAAGTATGTGCTGAATCATACCTGTCTGGTGAATATCTGTCTGGTGCTCGAGATATTCGAACAGAACGTCGTGGTTCAACCGTTACAGGATCAGGTGGCGGTTCAGCGTCGGGAAGGGGTGTGGGAACCTGCTGTTTGTGTTTTCTGACATATACATGACCTGGTTTATAACGCTCTATAGATTGAGGCATAATAGAGAACTTAGGAAGAGTAACAATATCATTCATGACAGGAGAAACGCATGGAAACATAAACTGATTATCAAAAAATGTCACATTCCTAGAAATGCGAAAACGATGGTTAGTGACATCATAACACACAAATCCCTTATGTGAGTGACTATACCCCATAAACGCACATTGAACAGACTGTGCTCCAAGCTTATGTCTTTCAAATGGAGGTAAGTGCACAAAACAAACACATCCAAAAATATGTAAATCATTATAACTAGGCTGAATTTTAAAAAGGCGAAAGAAGGGAGAATCAAAATCAATAACCGTAGAAGGAAGACGATTGATCAAGAATACGGCTGTGGAAAGAGCCTCAACCCAAAATCGGGATGGCACAGAAGCTTGAAGAAGTAATGTGCGTGTTACATCAAGCAAATGACGATTCTTTCGCTCTGCCATCCCGTTTTGTTGAGGGGTATTGGGACAAGACCGTTGAGACAAGATCCCTTTTTGTTGAAGGTATTCCTGAAATGCATGAGACATATACTCACCTCCCGAGTCAGATCGAAAAATTTTAACACTTGCTTGAAATTGATTTTCAACATATGTCAAAAACTTCTGAAACATAGAAAACACTTCAGACTTAGATCTAAGAAAATATATCCAAGTAAAGCGGCTGTAATCATCAATAAATGTGACAAAATATTTATAGTGAGCATGAGATGTTGCAGGAGACATTCCCCACACATCACTATGAATCATCTCAAAACAAGTAGAAGCACGATGAGCGCCGGACGGAAAAGGGAGGATTTTACTTTTAGCCAATTTGCAAACAGAACATGAAATAGGAGTAGTACACGCATGTTTATTTCCCAACATACCAGTTTTAAATAAATGAGACAAAACAACAGAATTTGGATGGCCTAATTTTCTATGCCAATCCTCATAAGAGTTCAAAACAGTATTACATGCAAAGGATAAATGACTAGAACTAAACTGGAGTGGAAACAATCTTCCCACTTTAGGCCCCTTCGCGATCACCTTTCCCGACACCTGCTCCTGCACAAGACAACCAACACGAGAAAAACTAACATTACAGTTGTTATCCACCAATTGACCAACCGACAATAAGTTGGAAGCAAGTCCGGGTGATACAAGCACGTCACGAAAGTTTGAGTCTATGTCACCCACATCAGTGATAGAAAGTTTATTACCATCAGCAATTTGAATTTGCTGATTACCATTATAGGAATGTTTTTTGTAAGTATTTAGAGGAACCAGTCATGTGATTGGATGCACCAGAATCAAGAAACCATGATTGAGAATTATTAGAAGACTTACCCTGAATTCCCAAGGCTGAAAGAGCAGAAAGTACCATTTGGTGAATCATTTCAGGTTGTAGAACACTACCGGTACCAGTACTGAGAGGACCAACTTCAGAGTTGGTAGTGGCATGGAATGCTTGAGTTGGACGTTGTACTGGTCGGGGAGGACGTGTGGGACAGTCAGAGATGATATGACCCTGTTGTTTGCAATAGTTGCAAAACTTCTTACTGCAATTGCGAGCTACATGTCCAAATTGTTTGCAAGAAAAACATTGAACTTGTCGCATATCACGACCCTTTCCTCTACTTTGAGCAGCATATGCAATTGCCACAGGTTCGGAACTAACAGCATCATGAGACATGGTTCCTTGCGTAAGTAGACGTTGTTCCTCCCTTAGAAGTTCACCGACACAAGTATCCAAAGAAGGAACAGGATTCCTATTGAGCAAAGCTCCTCTAACAATCTCGAATTCTGGACGAAGTTTCATGAGAAATTGATCTCGCCTACTTGTGTCGTAGACCTCTTGAACAGCAGTGAGAGAGGTTTTGGGAACATTAGCATGTATAATAGCAGAGTGTTCTGTCCAGAGATTCAGAAAACCAGCATAGTATTCTTGAATAGGTAGGTCACCTTGTTTGTAGCTGGCTATGTCTAGCTCCAATTGAAAACGTTTTGCCGAATTGTCCTGGTTGTAAATGCGCTTCAGATAATTCCATGTCAATAATTCTTGGCTTCCTCCTTTTCTCATTATTATTTCTCGTATATATAGAGGTTACAGGGCTATATTGGTAATTACACTAAATAATTACATTTTAATAAGAACAAGTCAATTTCTAATTTGTTTCCTTTATTCTAGAAACAAACCCTTATTCTAGGAACAAACCCTTATTCACAGACGCGTGAAGTATGAAGCATTAGTAATTCAGTACTAATGAATAGAAATAAGCTCCTTCAACACCTAATCTTATAATTACCATTTCATAAGTCTTCATCTTGAAACCTAAAGTTAGCAGCAAAATATGATGCTAAGGCTTCCATCCAGAAATGTCTGGGGTAATGAAATTCGCAAGTGATTCTTCTTTCTAGTATAGAATCTTTTTATGAATCATAAGATATTGGATATGATACTAATATCGTACAATATAATGAGAAAAATAACTCCATGACTAAGTTTTAAAAAAAAACACCTAATGTTACAAGTACAAAACAACATTTACGTAATATTAATCATCTACAGAAAAGTTATTAAACTAAACTAAAAATAAAAAAAAAGAAGTAACTACAATGCAGACATAAATCAAAAGCAAACCCGATGATGGAACCACATGACATGATATATCCAGCAAATTCTGAGATTTACACCCTCATCCCTCAAAAAATATGGAATAGGCATAAAGAACATGATATAATGAAAATTATAAAGCCAATGGAATATCATAATCAATATCACCATCAAACTAAATGCAATTGAGCCTAACTTTCTTGGTCAATGTCTGCTTCAAAAAACACAAAGCACCAGTTCAAAATACCACAAGAAACAACTTCAAAGCAGACATTACTTGATTTGACAACATGAAACCCTTTCATAGTTCATATGAGCTCAGCACTCAAAATGTCACTTTTTCCTAACAGATTGATAGTTCATGTGAGTATTTATTCATATCATTGCTGAACTCAGTTGTCTAATCTAATAAACAATTGTTAAGAAATGTGGTTGGGCCTAACTCAACCCTACAAAACCGGTTGATAGAGTGAGGATTACCCCCACTTATAAACACATGTTTATGCCATATATTGTCCGATGTGGGACTCTTAACAACAATGTTTGTAACAAACAAGTCAAAGAACAAAATGATGGTTTGCTTTGAAACCTGAATATCCTTTAACTTCGTGGTCCCCTCAAACACTTCAATCAATAACTCATGATTCAGCACAGATGCATCAATGGTATCTTCAACTCTCTGTAGGCATGAAATGCTCTCTGCCGTTGGGACATAAGTCTGCAAAGACAGCCTAATGTAATTCTCATCAAATGCAATCACTTTTAGACCAGCCAATGCATCGTCAATCTGCTCTAGAGCATTAAACCTTAAAAAGGGGACAGGATCAGTAAGCCATAGTATAAAGATAATCATCTGAAAGTGTGAGTGAAAATAGTTGAACTTACCATTCAACCTTACACTGCAAACACTCCACAGCCTCCAGAATTGACTTCATTTCATCAACCTTATTTTCAAGTTCCAATTGCTGCAACACACAGAATGAAATATTTCAATCAAATATATACTTAGTGTAAAAATTACAGTAAATAACCACCAAAATGATTATCTGTAAAAGAAGCAGAAAAGTGTTCATTGAGTAATAAATCCGCATGTGTTTGAAACTAATACAATGCCAAAAGAATAAAAATAAACAGAAAGTAGTAGGGCATAGTCATCAACATACCTCCAAATTTTCACCTAGATTCATGTCGGTGTCTAGCAGCATTGGGGAAGCATTTCCTTCATTAGCATCAGCTGTCATCTGCTCCTATAATTATTTTTAAAAAAAAAAACCATCAAAACATGATTCCTGAGTGGAAAATCCCCTTCCCCTCATTAGACAAAGTGATGGATAAATGTAGTCGATATACTTAACTCACAACAAGGATTCCTTCATAATCTCTTGTGAAATTTCATTGTCACGTTTTATCATAATCCCTTTAAATTTTCGACTTCAATAAATATTTATTTACCAAAATACCTAATAATTTAACAAGTTTTTTATAAGTGCGTAACAAATACTAATTATTTCTCAATTCTCTTGATTTAGTCAGTTGGATCCTATATTATTTGGGGACAGAAATGTTCGATGTTAGCTAAAGTATAAAACACAACACAATCAGTTACTAAATGTAAAGAACATACCAATTCTTCAAGTTTTCCCTCCAATTGAATAGAATCTGGCAGAAAAAACAAAAGTTATATGGACGGATCGAAGTAGCTATGTGAAACAAACAAAAAATGCAAGTGAGACTAACCATCCTTATTAGTTTTCGCAAGATGCTCAATCTCCAAAGCTACATTGGCAGTTTCACCCTCTACATTGTTAAGTTCCTTTTGCAAATGCTCTACATAAGTATCTACAGCAACACAAGTTAAAATTCACATAACATAAATTGCATAAAGAAAACGAAATTGAAAAAATTTGATTAAATTACCGAAATCTGAAATTCCTAGGGATTCGAAATCAGAGAATTCGGATACAATTTGTTGCACTGTGTTCTGTAAGAATGAGAGTTGAAAGTGAATAAATTGACAGTGTGAGGGTAAGAGTGAAAGTGAAAATTCGAGAAAACGCGCTTAACTTGAACATGAAGAGCACAGTCGAGGAGTAAATCGGAGGAATCCGAAGGGTTTGATTCGTCGTCATCGTCGTAACGGCAAAGTTTGTGAATCTCTGATATTTGACTGAAAGGTTTTACAGAATGTAATAACAGCGTTAAAGTGAATGAGACGGAATCGGAAGAAGAAGAAGGTGGAAGAAATGAAGTACCTGTGGATCTCACTGGGTCCTGCCATATCAATCGATAACAGAAATGGTTCTAAAAATTCAAATTATATTTACGCCTTGTTCCGCCAATTTTGCATATTTTGCGAATATTTTAGTTCTACTACTTACCTAGTGGAGTTTGATTTGACTAATATGAATTTAGGGTGTGTTTGGTTCGGGGTAGATGGAGGGGAGGGGAGGGGAGGGGAGGGGAAAGTTTTAATTAAATATGTTTGGTTCAAAATTTAGGAGGGGAGGGGAGGGGAGGGGAGGGGAGGGGAGCAAAATCCCTCCAAAACACACTTTTTGGTTCCCTCCGAATTGGGGGGATTTGGAGGGGAGGGGAGGGAATATGACTTTTGATATTAACAAATTATTATATTTACTAAAATATCCTCAGTTTAATTTTATTATTTCAAAACTATTTGTTATCTTTTGTGTTACTGTTTTTTCTCGATTGTTTTCATCAACTTATTATAATTGTTCTCCACCTTCAAATTATTTTATAATTTTTGTAATTAATATAAATCATAATCATTGTCTTTTTTTATTAAAAAAATTATGTTTCGTTATATTCGTTTTTTTTTCTTTTAATTTTGTTATGTACTCTATCATATTTTCTTTTATATCAAATTGTAAACTATATCATTTTATTTATTTTTGTTTATTCATTTTATTAAATATTTTGAACCATTAATATTTAGTAATAAGTTATTTTATATATTTGTTTTGTTATATGATTCATCACAATTTAAACAATGTTATTGACATATAGTTTAATTTATGTTGGAAAGTTATAAGTCGAATCGATTGTACTCAATTTTTTTAACTTTATGTGACAAATAAGTATTTTTTTAATCACTCAATATTATAAATTTTATTACCAACAAAAATACGCACGAATTTTTCACATTTTAATATCATATGACTTATATAAGATCATAAGGATAAAAATGTAAATTATTAATAAAACCCCTCCCCTCCCCTTCTGAACCAAACACATTTTTAATTAAAATCCCTCCCCTCCCCTCCCCTCCTCTCTTTTGAACCAAACACGTATTTGATTAAAAAATTCCTTCACCTCCTCTCCCCTCCCCTCCCCTTCATTAAAATCCCTCCCCTCCCCTCCCCCTCATTTGAACCAAACAGACCCTTAATGATTCATGACTTTATCAAATTTTATACGGGAAATTTTTAACTCTTTTCTACTACATTTGTTCCTTTTTTATTTTTTTTACTTTTTGACATATAACAAAAAGCTAATAATTTTTATGTTTAATTTATATTTTAATTCTTTAAATTAATTTATTGTTTCTATTTAGTCACTCCATTCAAAAACGTTATAATATAGTCTTTTAAAACACATTTGTTAGTCTTATATTTGTTAAACTATATTAATAAAACACTTATGTGACATAGTGAAATATTGACATGGCATATTGTTATTGTTTTTTCAATTATTAACATACTTATTTTAATGTCAAAAATGAAATATGAGTTTCTTTTTTTAAAAAATGAACTCTTCATAGTTCATAGTTATACTCTCATTGTCTAAAACCCTAGCTGATGCGAAGAAGAGCTCGGAGCAATGAAGACGATGATAGTTGGAGATACGAAGAAGACGATATTTATCAATTTTCACCATTGTCCGTTTTCAGTCTAAGGTACGTTTACGCTTACTATTTTAAAAAGCAAACCTTTAGCATTTTCTCCTACTTCGAAGACACACTTCTGCATTATTTAGTGTGATTAGGTCATAGGTGGTAAGTTTGAATGGGTTATCCATCATAGGGGTGTGTTTGTTCAGTTTAACATATTAGGTTACAAAGGGTTGAAGGAGGTTTGGGAAGTAGACCCTGATTTCTAGAGTTATTTTGAGTTTCTAGGTGGGTTAAAGGATTTAGGGTACCCAAAAGTTGAGAGTTTGTGGTATTATGATGCAATGGATAATAATGAGCTAGTTTTGTTAAAAGATGATCCAGAAACAAATAGAATGAAAATAATAGCATTGATCAATGGGAATGTGCATCTATATGTCATGCATCTAGTTTATGGGAAATAGCAAATATTGTCTCTAGAAAACAATGTAGGACCAAATGGCATAAAAGAAGACAATTTAGAAGATGACACCTTGGATGGTTTGAATAATGGTGTAAAAGGAACTTTTGATGATTTGGGGTGTTTTGAATATTTGAATAATCTAGGTGACAAGTTTGTTGGAGGAGGGACCACTGGTGTAGAAGATACAGTTGCAATTGACCAAAAAGATTCATTTGATGATGTTAATTAGGATGGGATCACTGAGGGCATTGACCAAAAATATTCATGTCAGGATGTTAATTTAGAGGGCCACTGTGTTTGAGGATGCAATAGTGGATACTACTTTATAGGGGACCACTGATTATTTTGTATGTGACCAAAAAGCTGATATATTAGATGGCACACTTGATCGAGTAAATGTTCAAAAAGATTCAGTAGTTGAGGGACTTATTTGTAACCAAGATGAAGATGAGGGACTAGAATGTAACCAAGAAGATGAGGGGCTGGAATGTAACCAAAATGATGGTGGTGGTAGTGAAGATGCTTTAAATGTGAACTTTGGGGACTCTGATGAGGATGTTATATGAATTGGTGAAGAAATTATTGTTGATAAAGAGGATGGCAAAGGAAATAGGAAGGACAAAGTAAAAGTTAAAGAAAGTGGGAAGGACAAAGGAAAAGGTAAAAGGAAAGGGAAAGCCAAGGTTGGAAGACCAAGGAAACAAAAGGAGGTGGAAACAGCAGTTGAAGGTAGTGGTTCAATTGATGATGTGAATGAATGTGAGGTTCCAAAGGAAAGCTTTAGAAATTTGAGTGACATTGAGGAATATGATAGTGATGAGTTACCCTAAGAGTATGATAGTGAAGATGAAGAGGTTTTAAAAGATGATTTTCCAACATTCAAGCTTCCAAAAAGAACGAAAGATTACAAGTGGAAATTAGGGACTTATTTTGCTACTAAGGAAGACTTTAAAGAGGTAGTTAGAACATATATTATTCATTCAGGTAGAAACTTAAAAATTAAGAAAAATCATAACAAGAGTATGAGAGTCATATGTAAGAAAGGTTGTCCATGGGAAGCATACTGTGCAGAATTACAAAATGAAAACTCTTGGCAATTGAGAAAAATTGTGAACAGACACACATGCATTAGGGATTATAAGGTTAGGTTCCTTAATTCCAAATGGTTGAACAAAAAGATTCAAAGTAATGTAAGAGAAAATCCTAATTTGAAATTGAGTGATATGATATAGAAAACAAAACAAAAGTAGAATGTAGGGATTAATAAGACAGTTGCATACAGAGCAAAGTCACCTGCTGTTGACATTGTTGATGGTTCATTGAGGGAGCAATATACAAGAATCCATGATTATGGTCATGAGCCGTTAAGGGTAAACCCTTAAATCAACTATGAAAATTACAAGTAAATTAATTCAAGGTGGAGAGGAAAGTAGTGAGAATCCTGAGATGTCTTTTAATCCACGTTTCCAGAGGATTTATATATACCTCAAAGTTTGTTAGACAAGTCAACCAATTCAAGGTGGATATGAAAGTAATGAGAATTTTGAGATGTCTTTGAATCCACATTTCCTGGATGTTTGATATGTGATATTCTTGTTAGGCACTTATATAGCAATTTCACGAAGAAGTTTCCAAGTGTTAAATTAAAGGAACTGATGTGGAAGGCTGCTACTGCTACTCGTGCAAATGCTTGGGAAAAATAATGTGTGAAATAAAGTGTTAATGAAGAGGCACTTAAGCACCTTTGAAAGATTCCACCAGGTTCTTGAGCAAATCAAGGTTTAGAACTAATGTAAGGTGTGATACTTTGGTGAACAACATGTCAAAGACATTCAACTCAGTATTTGTAGCTGCAAGAGGCAAACCTATTGTGACAATGCTTAAAGAGATAAATTGGTACCACATGCATGAGGCAAACCTATTTTACAAAATATCAAAAAGAAGTTGGATCTATGGAGAGTTGATGAATTGGTACCACATGCATGAGTCTTGTTGCATTTGCATTTATGTGATAATTTTGTGTAATTTATGATATTATGGCTTTTTGATGTTTCCTTGATGATTATGATGATGTTGAATACGAAAATTACGCTATTTTATATATTGATTCCTATATTGATTATTATAAATCGTTTTACTCACCCTGCCTGTTTGAATGTTGCCTCCACGTGGGTAACGTGCAGATAACCAGGTTTAGCCATGGATGTCGTCGAGGATTTTTTGGAGTTTTTGGATTTTGATTGATTTAGAGGGTCTTGCTCTGACGGTGTAACATCGGTTTGGGGTATTTTAGTTAAACCATGTTTTATTGATTATTGTTATTTTGATTATGTTGTTGCGCAAGGAAAACTTTGGATTTTGCCTTTTTAAGTTTCGCTGCCTTTTGAGCATTGTTTTGAGTAATTTTGGGAAAACCCGTTGTTTATGGAGCATTGACTTTTATTTGAGTTATTGAGAAATGTACGCCCTTTGAGATGATTTTTATTGTGTTTAATATTTTACTATGATAAATGTGATTGATTTGCCATTATATTTATGGGGTAGAAAAGGGTGTTATAGTACACACGTAATTTATTGTTTGGACTGTGTATTTATCGTTTATTCTTATCCTTGTTCGAAAAATGTACCTTCGTCTTCATGACGTGTAATGCCTTTATCACTTTCCTTTATTTTGCTTATGTCTTGTTATTGCATAACCTAAACCATTTTCAAAATAATTCTCGATTCAACATCGAGTCATTTTACACCCTAATAAGTCGATTGTCTTGTGCATCGCCATGAATCTTTCCTAATGCAATTAAGTTCTCCCTTCCACACATTTTCAAACCTTACCATTTTTCGAATGCCAATTCAAACCTAAATCAAAATCGAGTATTTTTCGAATCAAATTAAGACACATAATCATATTCAAACACAATTTCATTAAGGTGAAAGAGGACTTGGTCTGAAGGCTTTGATTCCTCTCCTC